TGTCAAGAATGATGGCACGTATTAAACAAAAAGTAGTTTGAATTATAATTTTTAGAAAGTTAAAAAAAATTGATAAGAATTATTGAAAAAATAATTACCTATTCGACAAGCTTCGTGTTTGCTTGACAATTCAGAAAAAACCTTCCTCCAATTAGGTCTTGCAAAATGTGTTCGTATCTGATTTGATATTAAATATTCAAAAACTTAAGATTAAACAATTATTAAGATATTGGTAATTGCTTAGGGGCCCCAATTGCTTAAGACTGCTTAATCCACCAGAAAAAAAAATAACTTGGCTTCTCCGTCATATTGTTAACGTAAATTGAACCAGACTCATCAAGAACAAAAAAAAACTATATCAAAATTCATTAAAAGTCCTTCATTTTAAAAAACTCTTACTCTATTATTAAATTAGAAACAACAACATTAAACCACAAACAAGTTTCAGTTTGGTTGTTAAGATGGAACACAAACAGAAAGTTAGATTGGACTCTCCCTAATTAAATTTGTGTGTGTCTTTTTCAAATCCCTTCAAATATACATTAAGTTAGAAAACTAAATCCAAATCAATTAACCAGACCGTACCTAACTCTATAAAATGTCAAAATGCTTTTTAAAATGCTAAAACGAAAGTTAAGAGTCGATACCTCTAATAACGGTTTTGGTGATGAATTATAAAATAAGATAAATGAAAACCTACCCTGCTTTCGGAGACAATGTCAACACCGTTCTTGGCATGTTGAAGTTTCTGAACCATAGCAATTAAGGCAGATCTTGCATCTCCTGCTTCGTACATGCTTGTTAAATAGTTATGCATTTCGATCACATGCTGTCAAAAAGCAAAAACATTAAAATAGTTGTTAAGGTTTACTACACCAATTTCATATCTACGAATCTTCAAAATAGTTGATGCATGTTTTAGCACGAACGTAATAAAATTTTATGAATTGAGAATGTTGAACTATAATCTTTGCGTTTTAGAAACTTCTAAACTTAAAAAAGCGGTTATATTATAATAAGAAGGATAAACTTACGGTTTTGTCATACTCGGCGATGTCATCCATAACTCCCTTGAACCAATCAAAGGAAGCTTGTTCTCTTGTCACCCAAAAAAAATATGCTCTCTGTGGAAACTTCTTGCCTCCTCCACCACTAACACTATCACCTCCTAAGCTCTCTCCTCCTACACTTCCTTCGTACTTTTGCCCCTATATTTTCCAATATTCATAAAATAGATCCCCATTTTTATTTTGTTTCCTTTTTATTCAACCGCCTCACATATATATATGGACAAAAATGTGGTATACTACTACTTACACTTCTGGGAATCCCGGGTTTTAGATGGTTCAACATATCTTTCAAGATGCTTATGAATGGAGTTGCCCCAATCCCTAGTCCAACCAACAAAAGAATATCGAATTTCTGATAATTTTGAGCCGGAGCTCCATACGGCCCTTTGATGAATATTTTTGGGAACCTGGTACGAAACTATTGTTATAACATGTTTCTTTACACTTCCGGATTACCAAACCATACATGTTTTGTACAAAAAAAAAAAAAAGAATTAATAGGTAAACTTACAAGGCTTGTGATTCTTCAATATGAGGATTCACACCTGCTGCTCTTGTTTCCATCCTCATAAGACTATTTGGTTTAGGTTTGGCAGCTGCTTGAGGAGGCTCGCATGTCTACAACCGATTAAAGAAAAGATTAAAAATCGTTTACACTTAACTTAGAGTTTAGATTAGTGTAGTTAACACGAGGAAACACAAATATCACGGCTATACATAAATTTTTAATTAAAAAACTAAAGAGTAAAGAGTGATTAAATTACCTTTGCGAATCTACTCCTCAGTTCAGTTGTCCAATCTCCTAAAGCTCTTATGTGAACACTTAAATAGTCATCTCCCGGTGCAGAAGTGATGGAGAATGGATGCCTAGATTATTAGAAAAAACCAATATTACTATTTACCTAAAATTTTATAAATTAACGTATTTCACTAAAGTATGGATTGTTATTCAGATCTAACCATTCGAAATGTGAGAGATCAGGACACTTGACAAACATGTACATGCCACTTTTGTATTTGAAACCGGGGGGTTTGGTCACGTAAAGTGCAAGAACGTTGCCCGAATATACAATAGCCTGTAAATAAAAGGGAAAATAAATTAAAATGTATAGGGAAACACAAATATAGGAAAAATATGTTGCTTTTACTTAATAAAGAAAAATTAATAGCCTTTTTAATTACCTTAATTACGTGGACACGATGGCTATGTTCTTGAAGGAGACGTGAGAAAAGCCTTTCACTCGCGTAAAACAGCATTGGTACGGCCACGTACATCCATGTCTGCATTTCAATTTTACCAACGAATCAAAACTATGATCATGCAGGAAATTTTCTTATATTAGAGTAAATGTCTATTAAAAAAAATCTTACCGTCTTCTGGTACCAAGGCTTCTCGATGATAAGATAGTAACCATGGATGATGAGAAGAACATAAGCAAGAACCAGCAAATGATGAGCATACCAAAACGCATTAAATCCAGCAACAACGTTGAAAGGTTTAGGCAATTTCACGATGTTCCTTCTAAAATAATGCATCGCGAGTGTAAACGAGAATCCCATGACGAAAATCATCAAAACCCCCGTGATCGACACTGACGTCATCATTAAACTTAGGTAGCTCGGTTGCGTGTTTCCCAAGGCAGCACTCGCGTACATCAAGAACACGTCGTGAGAGCACGAGCTTAACCTAGGGTAGTTACAAAGAATGTGGAGTAGCGTATGGAGCAAGGCCTGGAACGCGATGGCATACGCAATCACCTTGTGGAAGTTTATGTTGTCGTCGAATGGGACAAGGCGGCTCAAGAACGTTGACCTAAGGATAGTTAGGGTTTTTCTACAGACTGGGACCAAAATCAGAGCCATGTTGAATTTGAGCGTTTCGGCGGAGCCTTTAGCGGCGCAAACGCAGCGTCCGGTGATGTTGTAGAGAGGGTTTCTCATGAACTCTTCGTACTTCCACATGAATAGATAGACGTTGATGAGGAGCCACAAAGAAAGAACCCATAACTTCTTCCAATTCTCGTGCATCAATTCCGCGGTTACCGAAACGTACTTGCTTACTGGCGTTCTGTACCGCTCTGGGATCATCGCGCGTGTCAGCGTTTGCGATTTCTTCATTTTATCCGTATCAGCGTTTGTTACCATTCCTGTTAATAGTACTTCTAACTGCCACATCTGTTAAATGTAAACTATCAAATGGTCAGAGAGAGAAAAAAAATATCATATTTAGGAGGAAATTAACATTTTAATTAAAAACAATACAGTATATAGTAGAGATAATCCTTTTAAAGAAATTGAACCTCGATGTAACCCTTGTGATCAGGATCTAGTTCTTCCATGATCAAAGAAGCATAAGTCGCAGCGTTCTTTTTGAGGTTCCCGAGGCGGTTCGCGGAAGCGCTCAAGACTATGACCTCTTTCACTTCCTCTTCCGTGAGCTTACCATCTCCGTTCTTGTCACACCTATAAACAACCACCACAACCGCAACGGTTAAACTAACCTCACTATTTAAATACATGTGAAATTATATAAGTTTACTTACATGTCAAAGAAGATCTGGAGACGACAATCAAGGTCTTTCTTGATCATATCTTCCCAAAACAACTTGAGTTGTTCTTTGTCGATACCGTTTTCAGTCTCTATTTGTCTTCTCCGACCCAATGCCTCATAAACTTCTGCCGCAAACTCCATTGTATCTCCCATTCCTAGCAAATGTATACTATCGACGTTAAACTTTTTTCCTAAACATTATTATTAAAAAAAAAAAAAAAGAAATCTGAAAAGAAAAGTTCTTTATGTCGTTAGTTATTCTATCTGGATTCACACCTTCTGATAATAATCACCTTGAAGATACTCATTACAAAAATAATTATTGATTACACTATTTTCTTAAAACAGACAAAAATCACGTATGAATATTTAGTGTTTGTAATAAATTACCAATGCAGACGCCGAATTTCTCTTTAGGCAACTTTCCATCAACGGAAAACTGATTAAACCGGTTCTCAATGGATCTCCATGCATCTCGTTCACGTCCAGTAACCGTCCGGTCAAGGAAACGTAAGCTCTGGAGTCCCCTAGCCGCGCTAGACGTTGTCCTCTCCACTCTTTGTGGACCCATCTTCTTCGGTGGTCCCGGTGCACCCGGAGGCCCTAGGTTTCCGCTTTTCCTCGTGCTTGGAGACCCAAGATTCCCGCTCTTTCTCCAGTTCGACACGCTCAACGTCCGGATTATGGATCCAACGCCGAGGTTTCTCGACGCATTCTTCTTCGTGTTACTACCTTCGTTCTTGTTTAGGCTATCGTCGGGTTCTTTGGCCGAACTATCACCACCCATTGAATCGATCTCTACACTCTCTAACATCCATTTTGTTGAATCCTCGCTTGGACTGTTGTTTTTCATACTTGTTTAATTTTTTTTTTTTCTTTCTCCGGCACCTATTGTTGATTGAAGGATCGTCGGAGAGATCTTGTAATTAATTCTATTTTCTTTCTTCTTAGATCGTTTTGTTTTTGTTTTTGTTTTCTTTTGTTTTCTGGTTTGATCGAATTATTCGATGTGGAGAAAAAGTAGGAGGAGAGGAGGCATTGATTTTTTGTGTCGTTTGTAACATTTTTGTGTTTAGTTTATTTAGTTTATGAAGAATTTTTTACTAAAAATAGAAAGTTCCAAGGAAAGCATTTTTTTGAGGTCAAACACACACAGACCAATCAAAGACCTATAAAACGAAAGAAAGTTCTGATTCTGACATATGATAGAAAGTTAATAGCATTAAATTAAACTATCCCGCTGTTAATACTGTATTACCAAAATATGTTTTCTTGTCATTAGAAAAAAATTGAATCGAAGTGTTTTGCTGTAATCGTTGACCGAAACATATAACTTTTTAACCTTATTTTGAGGTCAATTAGTTCTAGATTATGCGCAAATGCAGCAAATGAAAATGTTGGAATTTCGGAAGCTTCCACGTATCAGCAACAAATCCTCGGAATCACCTGAAACAGAGAGCAAAGGTCAAAACGACAGTGGATCACCAAAGCAAGTTAATTTAGGACTTTAATACTTGGATACTGAATATGGTAAATTAAGTAAAGAAATAAACGCCAAATGGAAATAATGAAAGTGAGATTTAAAGACTTGGACCAACACGAATTATTTTGGGCCTGAATCGTGTTTTTATTGGGCTAATACTGCACTCACTTTATTTCTGTACTAGACCAGACACTAAAATACCGAATATCCCAGAACATTGTCATTATAGTACGACCAAAAAACAGAACCTAAAACCAAAAAAAAAAAAAAGGCGTAGTAAAGAAATATATTAACACTCCAAATCTAAGAAACTGAAGAGATACAATTACATTCGAAAATGTACTATTTTCACTGAAATCAAAATCATGGACTTTTATTATATATGCGCTTTTCTAGTCCGAACTCGCACGTAGAAAAGCCATTATACTTGTGTCCAATGAGCTGCAGACACATGGCGGCATTCCCGTCTCCGTCACGTGCCCCTAAACCCGTCGTCTGACCAAATTCGTACCATTAGGTCAGAAGTTGACTATAGAGATCCCAACTTCTGCCGTTGATAAGAAGGTGGCAGGGTCTAGAGTGTGGCAGCCAACGATTTGTGTAGGAACGTTTTACAGGCGACTCGCGTTTTGATAGGCACGAGAAACCGTACGCTTTGTACGATTCGGAGAAAGACGTAATAGATTCGTGTTTCCTCGTTGTCAGAAAGGATGGATTTAAATCATTTAATCGTTGGAACAATTAATAACAAGAGTCTATGGGACAAGGTTCCCGATCATTTAATTTGGAATTAATATATCATTGCAATACTTATATAGTATGAAAATTGCGGTTAAAGGCAAATGTTAAAATTTCCTTTAATAATTTGTTAACATTTTTGGTTATAATCAGCCTTACTACTCTGACAAAAAAAAAAAAAACAAAAAACAAAAATCAGCCTATTAAGTAACGATTGCAACCAAACTCTAAAAAGGTATAGTTAACTTTTCCGGTTTTATATTCCGCTAGAGCCTTATGTATATTGTTCCAATAATGTTGGTTTTTGAGTGTTCACAGGCTCAGTGTGAACTTACCTAATTCTATATACGTAGCTATATTGATATTAAGATCGAGGATGTTATAAAAGTTTGTTCGTATTACATGCATCTTTAACAATGTTCACGCAACATCAACTTGTCCTCTCAAAATTAAAATATATATGAATTTAGCAATTCGATGTAGTCAACTGTATGATTCACACAAAATCGTACGTGGGTCTAACATATAATATTATGATACTTGAAGATCGAACAAGTCGCTATTACTCAGTATAATGTATTCAATTGGCTTTTTAAAAGTTTCAAACCCGATATTCTTTGCAAAATTCATTAAATAATGTTAAACTTTCACTGTTCGAACCTGGGACGAATAGAGCTAGAAGCACCGAGTTATAATCTCTAGGCATGGCCTTTGTGCTATTAATTTTCTTCTTTTTCTTATACAATTAATAAACCTTTCCTACCATGTCAGTACGTTTTTACAAAGAAACATTTCGGGTTTTTCACCTTTCATTACGCAATGTTATTACTTGTGTGTGATTATATAAAAACCCATGTGTGTAGCCAGTAGGGAAACATATTATACACACGCACAGTGTGTTTTAGCATATTTCACTATATATGTACATATATATATACATATGTCTATATATATATATATATATATATATATATATTATAAATCTAAGAGTACTATAAATCTGATAAAGCACTGTAAGGTCAGATCTAAGTTGACTTCGCATCACGTTTTTATCAATCAGAATCAAGTAGACTTGATATTCTTCAACTTTTAAATTAATATTGAAAGCTTGTGACCTTATAAAATTTTGAGTATTTCTTTGATCCTCCTAAATGTTTATTTATGTATTATCTAAGTTTACCGATCTTCCGAGTTTTTTTTTTTTGCCAGCTTAGTAGACTCTTATTACTTATTAGCAAACTTCTTTCAGTACCAAAATTTGATGACAAAAGATAAAGATGAGTTCGTAAGAAAAAAATTTGGTAATTTATTTAATTTGTTATTTCTTTGGGAAAAAAAACAAGATAAAAATGACTAAAAGGCTAGGAAAGGGAAGAGAAAGAAAAGGACAGTGATGGGGAATGCTTATCTTAGAGAAGGTGCATTTTGCCACACACCAATCTTTCTTTGTCACTGTTAGTCAACTTCGCACCTCTTTTTCCCCCTCTTCAAATATTCATTTTGATTTTGATGTGAATATTTGACATTGACCTTATGTATGTAGTTGACAAGAATTAGTGCTTTCAAAATAAAATATATATATATATATATATATATATATTTCAGTTCATTGCTAAATTCATTAACTTGAAAGTGCTCTGAAACCTAAACACTATAGAAAAACAAACATATATGTATTAGGATGATTTAGCATCTTAAATTGAAGATGAGGTTCTAGATATGTTTTTGGTATAATCGTTGAGGATGTAAGTTTTTTAGGTTGCAAATGAGTTGTCCACCGTAGCTTTATGCATGTGATGTTGATTAGATTTATTTGGAAGATTTTTTATATAATGAACGACGAGGAGTAAAAAATTAAAGAACTAGTTTTGCATTAAATCATCCGTAAGTAAAACTGGTTATTATTTTATCATTTAGTCAAGGGACATTGTAATTTAAAATATGATGAATGACGATGAGATAAAAGTATATTCAAATTAGGATCAGATCATCGAGCGGTTAGCAATGTTGGTTAATTAATACTAAATATGTATTTACTCATCTAGTTATCTCATTCTTACTTAGTAAAGTGAAAATTATAAGCAAATGACATAAATTTTGGTGTCCATAGACTTACGATGTGTTCAATTTTTCATTGCATTTAAGTTACTGCTTCCCAATAATAATGTGTTTACTTATCTCAAAAGAAAAAACGAATTTATGTGTTACCGTTTTTATATTAATAATATATATATATATATATATATATATGTATCTAGTAATTAGGTGAATTCTGTGATGTTTCTGTTCTTTATTTGCAATAGCGTGGTTAACAAAGTAGTACAAAAAACACAATTACACCCCGTTGACTTTCCAAATCAAAAGAGGTATCATTACGTTCAAAGCCTAACCCATTTTACCTGTTTTGGAAAGTTACTTCTTCATCATGTTCTTAATTTTTGCCTTAAGGTCTGCCCATATCATTTCAATATATATCTATCGTGTTCGATGTATACATCCACTCATTGACAATATACAAAGTGTGAGTTCATCGAGGTCAGGGATCAATTTTTGTATTTTTAGCTACTAAAGAATATACCTGAGGCAACTATAAATTAGAAGAGTTCATCTGAGTTTCAATTTAACAAAATATATTTATATATTAAAAAATAGGGGTGGTACAAGAGATACAACAGGATCATATAATTGTTAGAGACAGTTGTTGTGACGGATACTAATGCAATGTATTATTGAAAACTTATATCTTATACACGTACAAAAATTAAAATTTAATATTATTTTTTAATTTCAACTGCATAGCTATGAAAAAAATTATTTTTCTGCATTTTCAACCGCATAGTAAACCAAATCGATTAAAAAATCCTATCCGAGCTGTTTGTAAACATATAGGTTTTTTTATCTTTTTTTTTTGGGTTAGAGATGTATGTATCTCGTTGTGAGTGTTAGAATTTATAAATTAGTTGGTGTTAAACTATATGATGCGTCTTAGTAATTCCAGTTAGTACAATCATATCATTTTGTAATATACTAATACTAGTTAACTTTTCCGTGATTTGCGCAGGCTGATATAATATTTATTTAATTGTTTGAAAATCTAATAATAGTTTAGATTCATTTATTTTTTATTTTTGAGTATATTTGTTTGTTAGATTTCTTTGCATTTTAGTGTTGGAAGACATGATCGTGAAAACAATATAGAATATAAGAGAGTAAATAAAAACATAGTAGTATCTAAATAATAGTTTAAATAGTTTTGAGATCTTACATCACTGTTCTATGTATTTTAGACGTATTTTTTTGAAGTACCGTATGAACTTATTCGATTTTGATCACTGTTTTATGTGTTTTAAACATCAAAAATACCATCATTCCATTAGTTAGATATATCTTTTTGTTATATTTTTTTAAAATTCAGTTTTTTTGTTTTGAAACGATATTCCATTATTTTTTATATAGTTTTCATTTTTTGTTTCTTTTAACATTTTTGTTAGATTTTTTTCTAAATTTTGGAAACATAAGAAATGGTAAATTTCTAGTTTTTTTTTTTAAAAAACAAAACGTTTTTTGTCTAAATTTTTCTAAATTTTGGTTTAATATAAATTTAAAAAATGGTTTGATTGACTATGTAATTAAGCATTAAACCATAATAATTTAGACCGGTTTGTTTTAAGTTTTTTTTACACATCATCAGATAAAAACCAATAAAATGATATGTAACTGCTAAATAGGACTAAACGGTCTTTTTGCAGCCGAAACTCATTTTAAAGCTGACATGTAAGCGAAAAGCTGTGAAACTCGCTGTGAAAACGATACATCAGCAAATCACTACACAAATAAGTATATAGATTATCTAAATGATTTATATATAGTGTATGTTTTGAGGATAAAACCACACCTATTAATCTCGGTGAACACGGAGCTTAATTAGGATTAGCTGAATTATAGAAAGTTTATGAATTCATTTGATCGAGATTTACAATAATCCTAAGACATGTAAAAAGGGTGTTTTTTAACAGTTTAAAATGTTTATAGTAGTCTAATATGGAAGTACGGTGGATTATCTAAATGATTTATATATAGTGTATGTTTTGAGGATAAAACCACACCTATTAATAAGTATATAGATTAAATAAGTATATAGATTATCTAAATGATTTATATATAGTGTATGTTTTGAGGATAAAACCACACCTATTAATCTCGGTGAACACGGAGCTTAATTAGGATTAGCTGAATTATAGAAAGTTTATGAATTCATTTGATCGAGATTTACAATAATCCTAAGACATGTAAAAAGGGTGTTTTTTAACAGTTTAAAATGTTTATAGTAGTCTAATATGGAAGTACGGTGGATTAAAATTGACCATGGTCTCGACAAACAGAAAATTCTTCCAACAAAAAAAAAAGAAGCGAGAATCCAAAGTTTAACGTGAATCGATAGATGAAAACGACCGAGTAAATAATAAAATGGAGAAAATGTGAAAATGGTGGAGAAACTATTGTGCTTGTTGACCTTTTCCTCTTTTCCAAAAGATTGGACAAACGCATAGAAACACATGCACGAGTCCTAATTAACAATTAACAATTAAAGAAAATAATAAAACAAAATGATGGGATCACTTAAAAACATCTAAATCACACCGTCTTATTCATTGATTTGTCATGAACATACTTTTCTTCAACCAAGAAGAGTAACCCTACACATTTCATTTCTTTTGATCATAAACTCTTTGAGTACTCATTGCCTACATTTATGCTATTATCATTGCTTTCTATAGGTATGGACTATATAATTTGCATATTGCCATTAATATTTTGTAGAATAAAACATTTTGTATTTTTTTTTTCAGATCCACTGACCGAAATCCATACTAATCCTTAAGAAATTCTCCAGTCGAACTGTAAAATACCAATTATAGAATTTGTCTTTCTCCAATAAAACTGCATATGGAACGCTATAATGTAGTTGTTGCATTATTCACAAAAATCTAAAAAAATAATAATATTTTATTGTTATTTTTATTATAATATAAATATTATATTATTTATCAATTGA